AAGTCAATAGTACTCGCCGGGGTTTCACAGTTCCTAATAGTGGGTTGAGCAACACAGAGGCAAAGAGGCCCGAATCGCTCCCTTTACCTGGAATATGAACCCTTGCTTGTAAACACGACTGTCGTCTAGACTTAGTCAACACGACCCTCCGCTCGTGCTAGCTTTAAGATTATGGTATCAGAGCCTTGTTTCTCTAACTGTTTTCCAGACTTCTCTAAATGTTCTCTAAATGTTGTGTTCTCTAAATGGTTGTGTTTACAAGCCTTGGCTCTGATGCGTTGGGACGTGTTGGTAGCCTGCAAGTGCCGTGATGGTCTGACTCATGCAGCAAGGACCTCACTTTTCCGCAGCCACAAATAGCAAGCTGATTGGTTCAGCTTTATGATGCCCTATTGAGCTTGTTCTTCATTAAAAAAAAAGGGAACAAAGAAGAAGACAGACGCATTACGTTTCTAACAAATTTATGAGAGAGTTTGTTCTTCCTTTCACTACAACTCTTGAAATTTTAGAACAAAACGAAAATGAAAGATCTCAAAATAGATTAGAACAAATTATAAACCACATGTACACAAGTGTATGTATCTATAAAAACGCATACTTTGGAATACAAGTAAGATAGATTACAGATGCCATCAAGTCTTACAAAGACACAAACAATGAACAAATCTGAGTTTTGTTTCTTTCTTATTCATAAAACACACACAGACCACTTTTTACCACTCCAGACACCAATTTTCCTGCAGTTTTTCATAATACAGTTAAACAGAGGTTAATTATCTGGTTCAACATATCAGTTAAGACTCTTGGAGTTAATCGAACCGAACCACAATGTCAAATTCATCGATACATTAGCTCATTAGAGATCTAGCTCTGGTTTTGACCATTTCCATTTCAGAGTTTACCTCATGGTCTCTACTCTCTAGTTTGATGCAAGACAAGCAATTTAAAAACTAAGCAGAAACGGTTAGGAAAAGCTTACAAAAAGGAAAGATCTTCCAGCGCTGGTTGTCGCCTTTGTTCCAGTCCCAGAGGACAATAGTCGTGCCATCACGGACACCACCAGATTTGCTGTCACCATGATATGCATCCACGTTTAGCCTTGTATTGTTTATCATCCTTATCGTGCGATATCCATCGCCCAAATCCTTGCTCTCTGTCCATAGTACAGACTCATCAAGCTTATCAGGATCATATCGAGTCAGATGCACCTGCAATACCCAGTAAAATATTGCTTAAGCACATCAAGCCTATCGTTAAACACACTGCAGAAGCACAGAACTAAATTGGCAGACTGTAGTTAGAGTTTCTTCTAGAGACCCTAAACTTTCCAAGCCCCAAAACTATTCCCATAACTCTTGATGCTCCTCTCTGTTTCCTTTCTTCCTATTTTTAAACTCCCTAGTTGGTGACTAATGTCGTGATGTAGAATTTTCATAACATGATGAATAACTTTTTTTCAAGACCCGTTGAAGGTTATGAAAACTAACATTTAGCTAACAGTATGACCCGTTGAGATGTCATACTGAAAATAATGAAAGTCACAGGACAAAAATGACATCGTCTAAGAAAGAAAAGCTTACGGGATGGGTAGCTCCCACAGAATGCTTCATTGCTTCACCAGTAGCCTTGTTTACAAGAGCAAAACAAGGATGACCGTCTGCGTCCTTCACTTTAGTACTATACTTCTCGTCTTTGTACCAATGCTGCGGATCCAAAACCATTTCATGAGTATGATAATACATACATCAAAATCAACAATGCAAGGATCAACAATAAAATGTCCTACTTTAACATAATCAATCAATGGAAGCATCAGGATCATAGCCTATATATACAACATGATCCTGGTTTTGTATGCAAAGCCAAAACATGAACATAACAAGAGGATCTGAGAAATTGAACCACAAAACTAAATTCTAGAATAGCAGAGTAGATAACAATTGAAACGTGTTTCTTCATTCTAAATCATAATCAACAAGATTCAATCTTCCAACACAGGAAGATTTCGAAAGCTATGCATAACCATAAACTACTCAGATTCTCAAATGAGTGAACAAATTGAGATGCATATGAATCAACACATCAACAAGCCAATGGTTCATTGGATCACACCTGTGCTTCATCAGATGGATCGGCTGGAGCGAGGATGACCTTACCATCTCTGATCGTCAGATAATAGTTAGGCTCAGCCTTCGAATACACCTTCACCGTCGCCCTTCCGGCGAGTCCGGCAAGATTATCAGGCAGACGATTCTCATCAGGGCGGTGGTAGACACCAGGAGACGATTGGGGCTGATTTGAGCTATGGTGAGCCACGTGCGTGACGCCAGAGTGGTCTCCGTGGCTTTCCAATATCGAATTAGACGGCGGTGGATAACCTCCGTAACGGTGGTGTTCCGGTGGGTAGGATTCGTTGGAGGATTGGTGACCGACATGACTCACATGACCAAACGCAGGCGGTGGTGCCGGAGCTTCAAAGTAAGGCTCTGATCGGTAAGGCGGAGGCGCGTGGGGTTCGAATTGAGGTTCTGATCGGTAAGGCGCCGGAGATGGAGTAGGCGCGTAGGGATCAAAATGAGGTTGTGACTGGTAAAGGCCATGAGGTTGTGGAGGAGCATCAACGCGTGGCGGTGGTTGCCCGAAGGAGTGACGATCGTCTTCGCCGTCGTCGCGTTGGTGGTGACGTTGATGCTGGTGGTGGTGTGGAAACTCCATTAGTATGTTTATGTTTGTTGTTGATACAAAGTTTTTCCGAGATGACGAGAATTATAAGGATGTCAAAGGACACTTGTCGCTACACTAATGGGTTTTGGTAACAACACTATGGATTCACGTTTTGTCGAATAGTATAAGATTTTAAGATTTTTTAATCAATACATAGATATAGATAATTATACAAATTTAGGCTTATTTAAGTTAATAACGACCAGAGTAAGTAAAAATTATAGCATAAAAATTGAGAATCTTGCTGATGAGTAAAAAAAAAAAAAATTGTAAATTCTTTCTACTTTTGCAGATTTGCTTCTTATTCCATGTAGTATAAATTTATTAATAACATAAATTTATGTGTCTTTGGAGAAAAAAATTTCATATGCATACACTTTTTTGCTAAATCAAGGGAAACTAGAGTTGGGATTTGGGCCTTTAATATAATAAGTGGGTCTTTCCCTTGTTGATTTGGGCCATATGAGCCCGAGAAAATAGATTAATATGAAACGAGAGAGTTGGTGCGTTTTGGAAGCAACGACTACGCTTCACACTTCTCAGCTTAACGTTTTCGTCTCAAATTTAGCCGTAGACAAAGGCGATTGCGTCAACTAGAAAGTTAAAAGAGATAGAGATAGTTTCCCTATGTATGTTAATATGGCAATTCCCAACCTGCATATGTGCCAAAGTAATCGTATTGCCTACATCAAACTTTTCAACTATATATATGTGATCAAAATTTTGAATTTGTTCCCAAATTTCCATTGCATATGGAAAAATATTTGGATTTGGACCATGACTTGTGAGTGTATCTATGACTATGATATGTAAAAACTCTCAAGTGTGAAATTTACAATCCGTGTATAGTCTTTTGATATATAAGAAAATTTCAATGTTTTCCAAGTTATTGCAACATCGAAGGATTAAGGTTTTAGAGAACATGTAAAGTAAAAATAATAATGCCTGAATAAATTGAGACAGCAGTGAAATCTATAAATATCTGCATAATGGATGTTCACGCTATAGTTCAGCTAAATGATTATTTGCGGGAATTATAAATTTCTAAATAATTCTGTTGACTTGCAACTTAATAATTAATCCTTCATTTTCACAACACATACATGGAACTTTGCTTGGGCACCCAGATATATTAATTATATTAACAATTATTCAAATGCTACAGAAATATTAAAAATTCAACGGGCATTTGGGTAGTTTAGAGCTTCAGTTTCTATATAAAGTAACTCTGCCAAGTCCATTCCTCATATACAAAAAGAACAAACACTTCAAAGCAAATATCAAATATAAAGTCGAATCATGGCTAAGAGTTTAGAGATTCGGTTTTTATTTCCACTTGTTTTGTTTTTGGTACTTTGTGTTGATGGTAAGAGATTCAATAATAATGGCCACAAGATGAGAAAAGGCAGATGGGAAGGTAAGCTGAAGATGAACTTCTATCACAAAAGTTGTCCTAAAGCTGAGGAAATCGTGAAAGAGATTGTGTCGAAGAAAGTCGCAGAAAACCCTAGCTTGGCTCCCAAGTTACTAAGGGTTCATTACCATGACTGCTTTGTTAGGGTATGATATGCATGTTAGCATGTAGTTTTTTTTTTTTCCTTTATGTGAGCATGCATCTTTCTTATAAAGATAAGTCTAATGTGGATCATTGATGATATTTAGGGGTGCGACGCATCACTGCTTTTAGATTCAGTTGCTGGAAAAGCCGCGTCCGAGAAGGAAGCCAGACCTAATCTCTCGCTATCCGGGTTCGAAATCATCGATGAGATCAAGTCCATTCTGGAAAAACGATGCCCTAAAACCGTCTCTTGCGCAGACATTCTCACCTTAGCCGCCAGAGATGCCGTCTCATATGAAGTAATATATATGAACAAACTCGTCTAAAAATATCTCATGATTAGAAATCACAAATTTAGTATTTTACTAATCGCATATGGTACTTTAGATGTCTTGCTTATCAAATGAAACCAAGAATCAGTTATAATTCCCCTGTGTTTTTATGTTTGATATGTTATAGTTTGAACGGCCGCTATGGAATGTGTTTACGGGTCGTGTTGATGGACGAGTTTCATTGGCAACGGAGGCGGCCAGAGACTTACCGTCCGCTGGGGCAAACTTCACCACTCTACAGAAACTCTTTGCCGAAAGCGATTTGGACGTCGTTGACCTCGTCGCTTTATCAGGTTTAGCATATTTCGTATATATTATTTTTTTGTTTCATCACATTTTACATATACTGATAAGACCAACCATGAAATTGGGAACAATTGAATTATAAGAAAATCGCAAGAGTATCAGACCACATGCATGTCCATGTTAGGAAGTGTATGAGATGCTACAAATTTAATTCTTCCAATTTACAAGAAATAGTATAAAATACGATGAACATCAAATATTTGAGGATAATCTTGGAAGAGGCGTCGCACGTGATAATTATTCAAAAGTCAATTAATTTTCTTAGAAATGATCTAATTTTTTCATATAAATTACTCAATAATTAACTAATTTTTAATGGAAGCAAATTTTCGAGTCTATTAAAAAGAAACGAAATTCTATGAAAAACAGGAGCACACACGATAGGAACAGCACATTGCGGTGTGTTTGGTCGGAGGCTCTTAAACTTCACCGGAAAAGGAGACACAGATCCTTCCCTGAACCCTAGCTACGCCTCTTTCCTCAAATCCGAATGCTCCGACAAATCTCTAAGATTCAACTCCTCCGCAGTGGTTGGAATGGACCCTACCGGGCCTCTCACCTTTGACAGTGGCTACTTCGTCTCTCTCCTCAAGAACAAAGGACTCTTCACCTCCGACGCCGCCTTGTTGACTGATCCCTCCGCCGCTCACATTGCTAGTGTTTTCCAAAACTCCAAAACTTTTCTTGCTCAGTTTGGTCGGTCCATGATCAAGATGAGTTCCATTAAAGTCCTTACTCTTGGAGATCAAGGTGGTGAGATTCGTAGAAATTGTCGCCTCGTCAACTAATAAATTTTCACTTTCCATCTTAATCCTTACCGTAATTTAATTTTTATGTAATCATCATTTGAGATTCATTACAATATTATATTTTTGTTGATCCATATATATATTACATTTAAGTGACATTGTATGTCTCCAATTTATCTGTTTTCCACATATATGTCGTCTAAGATCACTAATGACAAATTTGACAAGGACCGTGGGTTAGCATGTGTAAGTGGAACGATGTACGGTTCAAAAAGGATACTCCATCTGTTTTACAAAGAGTGTCATTCTAGTATTTTTCACACAAATTAAAAAAAGTAAATAAATTTTATTTCTACCCCTTATTAATACACTAAATAATATTCTTTCTCTAATTAATAAGCTAAAATAGTAAGGGTAAAAAGAGAATTGGTCTTTAAAACTGTATTGAAAACACAAAACGACAATATAATATTTCGACCTATTTTATAAATGTACCATTCATATATCTATATTAATAGTTTTGAGTATATTAATTGTGTTTTAGGTTTAAATGGTATATCTATATATAGTTATATACACTTAAACGACATTTGGCTTTCTTCTTCTTTTTGCCTCAGTTTAAGAGAAAGATTTTTCTTGCGGTACACCGCGGAGCTATTATTTTTAAAAAAAGATTTTTCTTCCTTAAACTTCCAAATCTAGATTTTACCCCGCGGTACACCGTGGGTCGATTTTTTTACAACAAAAAAATTATTTTGCAAAATTTTAAGTTGTATTTGTTTTGTTAATATTGTTTATTTTGTTTAGTGTTTCTGATTTTATAATTAAATTTTGATTTTTAATTCTAGGATTTCATCCATCGTATATTGTTTAATATTGTTTAATATTAATATTGATCTAAACCCGTTGCACCATATAACCCCGTCCCGTAAAATTAAACATCATTTGTTATTTTTTTTAAATAATATTTTTATCCACTACTGGTCGCAGGTTCATGCGGATAAGCCCGTAGAGAGTTGCGGATTTGCGGGTCGACCCGCCAAAAGAGAAGCTATCTTTTGAAACCTTTTGTTTTATTTAGAGGTTTTGAGAAAATATCCCTAAAAATAATTTTCATTATATGAAAAAAAAAAAGTAGAAGAAATTGTAATATCAACATTCCCGATTTTTACATCACTCGTTACTATTAATTTTTTTTTTGCAGATAAAAATCAGAAGTTAACTAAGTCGAGATTTTTAAAAAGATTGTGTATAAATTTTTGGTAAATTGTTGAGAAAATATTTGATTTCAAAATCTTTACTTAAATAGATAAAGAAAGATTTTGTAGAGACTTTTGCTAAATATATGAAAAAATGAATTTCATTTAAAAATCTTTACTTAAATAAAATAAATCTAAATAATTAATGCTAATGGCATGCCATTGTAAATACTTCTCAACTTCATGATTTATTTGCTAATTGTGATCCAAAAATGTATATATAGATAATATTCTTTCTCTAATTAATAAGCTAAAATAGTAAGGGTAAAAAGAGAATTGGTCTTTAAAACTGTATTGAAAACACAAAACGACACTCTTTATAAAACGAGATTAAAACCATAAAACGACACTCTTTGTGAAACAGAGTGAGTATCAAAGAACTTTAAATTCTATATAAAATTGAGGTCCATAATATTAATTACAACTTATTTGTTCACATTAAATAAATCTTTAAAATTTCTTTTGAAGACCTATAAACAGTTTGAGAACTCTCCATTTATTCAAATCCGGAACACGCAAGATACTTTTGTAAAGCATACATGACGACGAGGAATCACAATTACATAAAACTTAAGATGTTTTATTCAACAAAATAAAAACAAACTTTAAAGCTTAAGGAAGTGATCCATTGTCCATCGATGGGTCTCAGCAACAAAACACATAAAATCTAGATGCTTAGCTTATCGATAGCTTGAAGTGCATCGCCAGTGAGCCTACAAAGTCTCCATTCCTTAAAAACCTGCGCACCCATCTGCTCGTAGAAGTTGATAGCATTCACATTCCAATCAATCACAATCCACTCCACTCTTCCTACACCTAACTTCACTGCTTGCTTTGCCACAGCGGTCAGTAGCAGTTTTCCGAAGCCTTTTCTCCTGTAAGGCTCTCTCACGAAGATATCCTCGATGTAGAAACCCTGTTTCGCTAGAAAACTTGGGTAGTTCGTGTTGACATTCTCACATTCTCTCTATTTCTCACACTCATTTACGGTTTCATTGTCTTTAGAGAGAAAGAACAAAAACCATTACTCTTTAATTGTCTACATTGTATTAATGGATCACAAGGATACTTTTGTTACATCACACATACAAGCATACTTATACTACTTTACTTCTACTTCTACTTACTACATACACATACACACACTTGCACTTGGACCTTACTCCTAGTTCTAGACTCTCTTACACAAGCAAGGTTAAACTACTAAACCTTACACAACAACAACTCTTAACCACTACACTTGACAACTCTACTAAGCTAGTCTTTGACTAACACAACACACTTACTCATTTGGGCCTAACAAGACATTTAGCCCAATCACTTATTCTTACAAAACAACACAAGCCCAACTTGTCTCTTGTTGTGTTGACTTTCCTCTTTGTCGTTGACATCTTCTTTCACGACAACATCTTCTCCGACATCGTCTTCTTCTTCCGATGCTTCTTCCTCTGTTCTTCATCTTCTTCTCATGGATTCTTCTTTTCTCTTTTGCAGGTTCAATCAAGGATACAATTCCAACAGTTCGGGAAGAACAGAACGAATCCAGCCACCACCACGTCGTTGAGCTTATCCGGCAAGAACTTGTCTTTGTCCGGATCCTCGATAGGGAGATCAACCTTATGCGTCTCAAGAAAGGGGGTGAATTCAGGGGACGAAACGTCATTGGTGGAAAATGGAGAAGGGGAGATCTCCAAGAGAAAGACGGTGACGGCTTGGAATGGACGGGAGTTGAAGAGAGTGGAGGCAAGACCAGACTCGGTGGCGACAAATAGATGCGTGAGGCGCTCAAAAACCGCCATCTGGTGGATTAGCTTGTGAATGAAAGGGACATCAGTCGGCGTCGCCAGGCGGATCCGGGAAAACATAGGGTGGCCAGTCGGTGAAGTCTCTGGCACGGTGTTTGGCTCTGGTGCTGCGGTTGGAGGCGCCATTTTTTTGTTACTTGTCTTTGAAGACTGTGATGTGGAAATTAGTTTTTTCGAGAATCCATATATATAAAGAAAAGAAGTGGATGTTACATCTTTCTAAGGCTATCAAGTTCGGATTAGAAATTATTTTACAAGCCAATCTTAATATGCCACATATGATTAACTAAAACGCTATCTCATCCTTTTTTGACTTTTAAATCGATCCGTCTTCTTGAAAAACGTCATGTTTTACACGTAAATTAGGTCACTCTTTTACTTTTATTTTTTTCGTTCAGGTTGAGAAATCAAAGAGACTCCGCATTATCACCATATCAACTCAACGTATCAGTGTAATGTTTAATTAGCCGTCCCTCAATTTTGGATAACGCATCTCTCTCTTATCTCATCGTATAGGTCACTGATCATCTCTCTCAAGACTTTGCTAGCGATTTTCAGTCTTTTAAACATCATTCTTAATAATTTTAAGCTCTCATTCTATACAACGTACAAATCATTAGAGAAGATTAGGAATAAATGTAGCCTAGACGGTCATGATCTATACCGTTTACATTCCAATCTTCGTTCCACTTGGTATATTTACCAATTTAATTTAGGAATAAATTGATGAATTTCGATAACACCATCACAATTTTTTTTTAAGTCGGTAAAAAGACATGTGTGATGAAGAAACGTGAAGCACATGTCGTTATATCAAGGAAAAAGACATTTTGGACCAAAATTTTTGGTTCCAAAGAAAAATACAAGAAAATGAGTGGAAATAATTGTCCATCACTTTCGTCGTTTTATCTCAGGAAATAATTGTCCATCACACGTACTACTTTGATATTTATTGTCGTTAGAGCAAAACTATCAATTTTAGTTACTACTTTTATTCTTTAGCTAGTGTTTTTAATAGTTTTAATTGTTAATAAATGGATATGCTTTTCTTTGACAATAAATAAATGGATATGCTTTTGAGTGTAAATCTAACCTATAGTGATATTATTAGAATGTATCTGTTTAGTTTTATGTCCAGGTTCATGTCTAAGCCGAACTGCACACTTTTACCAATCAATGACATGAGATTATTTACTTCTTGTGTTGAGTAGTATCATTGCAAAAAAGGCTCGTTCTACTCCGATTTGTTTCACTTGCTTTGTTTGATTTCTCGGTATTGTTCTGAAATTCTTCTTCCATTTACGTTTCACAATCTTTGAAGTTGTAAGTAATTAATCTCAATCAAAGAGGTTCTTTTAAAGCAGTAGGACAAATGCTAACTTTGATTATCACTATTATTTCTAAGTCTTCTGTTTCTTATTCTCTACCCAAGACAGAGGGACTGATAAATCTTAGTTGTTTCTCTCCTCTAGAGAAACTGAAATAAGGATTGTCCTATAAAGTTGCAACCATCTTAAAGACTTGTGCCTCACAACTCACAAGCAACTTATGGACCATCCTAACGCATATACCAAATTGGCCAAACTAACAACATTTGATGTATTTTTTACCCCAAAAGCAGAAACACACTGAACAATTATCTGTTTCCACTATATGTATTCTAGGATCACTAATGACAAACCTCCAATTCTACACCAGATACTACAGTAAAGCAAACACGGCGAGGAATCACAATTACACAACTCTACTTTAAAACCTTGAAACATTTCATACATTCAACAAAAGGGTTTGTTCTCATTCAGAATCCAGTAAGTAAGCATAGCGAATTCATCATCATCATAAAAAAAACACAAACTTTAAAGCTTAGAGCAAGAGGAAGTGAATCGATTCGATAACTCTCAGCCACCAACTCATCAATCTCTAGATGTTTACCTGATCAAAAGCTTCAAGAGCATCACCAGTAAGTCTACAAACTCTCCACTCCTGCAAAATCTGAGCACCCATCTGCTCATAAAACTTGATAGCATTCACATTCCAATCAAGAACAACCCATTCCACTCTTCCATAACCCATCTTCACCGCTTGTTTCGCCACAGCAGTCAACAACATACTACCAAACCCTTTCCTCCTATAAGGCTCTCTCACAAATATATCCTCAATGTAAAACCCAGGCTTCGACAAAAAACTCGAGTAATTCGGGAAAAACAGAACAAACCCAGCAACAACGACGTCGTTTAACATATCCGGCGAGAAATTGTAACTCTCCGGATCCTCAATCGGGAGATCTAAGTTATGCGTTTTGAGAAACGGTGTGAAATCGGGAGATGGTGAAGTGATGGTTGTTGGAAATGGAGAACGAGAGACTTCTAAGAGGAAGACGGTGAATGACTGGAAAGGACGAGAGGTGAAGAGTGTTGAAGTGAGACCTGATTCGGTGGCGGAGAAGAGATGAGTGAGACGTTCGAAGACGGCCATTTGGTGGATTAGTTTGTGGATGAATGGGACATCAGACGGTGTTGCGAGACGGATCCGGGAGAAGATTGGGTGGCCGATTGGTGAAGTTAGTGGTGGTACCATGTTTGGTTCTGGTGCTGCTGTTGGTGGCGGTGGTGGTGCGGCGGCTGCCATTTTTTGGTTACGTAGCTGTGATTGTGAAAATTAGGGTTCTAGACAAGGATTGAGAAACGATGGAGAGGTTCTAGAGAAGCTAGGCGGTGCTTTTTGTTGAGCATAGCTTTTTCTTGTGCTAAAAATGAAAAAAAAGTTATTAATGGACTTTGAATGAGCCCAACCCAAACACAGCCCAAAGTTTTTTGTGGATTTTAAATGAGAAGATTTAAATGTTAATGAGCCCAAATCCAAACCTACAAACCAATTCAAATATCTCATAATAACTTGAATTTTCAAACATTTTCACTTCAATTTGAGGGGGACTATAAAGTGTATATACATATATAACGATTAGTTATTGTTGGTTGTATACACTGCCGTGCCTAGAGTCTTAGAGGCCTTAGGCAAAAAATTTAATTTATTTGTGTTTAATAATTAATTATGTATATTAACTAAGCAAAAATAAAAGTCTAAAAAATATATGAGACTAAAATACAACTAAACAAGAAAAAAGAATGTTAAATGTTAGAGATATTGAAGATCAAATTTTGATAAGATGAATTTTACTATTTTAAATTGAATTTTGATTAACTAACCTAAGAAGATTATCTATTAATGTGGCCTCTAAATTTTTAAAACCCAATGTGGCCTAAGGCAAATGTCTTTTTTTTTTTTATTATTCAAGTAGTCACAGCTCTGGTTGTATAGTTTGTTAGTCTCAAGCTCTATATAAACAGTTGTAAAGTCATCATTCGAAGGTTAACGAGAATTTCAGTCTTTATTTATATAATGAAGTCGATAAATTTAGGCCTTAATGATCAACTTTCATATCACGCTAAGCAATTAACATGTAATTAGGGTTGTCCACTTTGAATAGTTTCGTGGATTTTAAGGACGAAATCTTATTTTTACATGTTTTTAGTCATTGTAGAGAACTTTCTAATGTGGTTTCTTATTTACAATTTCTAATGTGTTGGTTTTTATTTGCAGCATTAGTGCGACCGACGTTTTTAATTGCAGCATCTCCTGTTCTGTTTATTCTTAGGCATGAAATGGATTAGAGGGTTGCATCCACATGAAGTTGCATCAACAGTTGGGGTTTCAATCACTGGATCAACAGAGGATCAGGTTAAGGAAGGGTGAAATAGACAAGGATGGCAATTCAATCAAGTAACTACATACAACTATTCCAGCCTACAGAGCTTATTGCGGTTTATCAGAAATTCAATTAGTCATCACAGAGAACTTCCTCCAGAAGTCCAGGTTTGTCTTCAAACCTAAACGATCAGTATTTTCTTGAGTTTAGGAAGTAAAGTTTTGGTCTCTCATGGTCTTTGAAACTTTTTGGTGTCTCAAGGTCTTTGGGGAACGTATCCAGAAGGATTGGATAGTAATTTTGCTTCTAGGTTCCCTACGTTGATGATCATAGTCCATAGAATTATGTCTCACAACTGCAAGACAGAAAACGCGTTTAAGACTTACTTCCAAGATAGCGAAATGGATGGATGATGATGTTTAACACACTTCCAAGATAGCGAAATGGATGGATAAGTCTAGACTCATAATTTTGTTTAGAAGTCATTGACCTTTTATGAAAAAAACAAACTAGTTTTCACCATTGGCTATTTGCTCGCCAAATTTCTTTATCCTCACCTCCATCGTTACCAAAACATGCTAATGTCAACTAACACATTCTTCTATATTGATTATCAGAAATGGGATCAGATTATCATAAATATCTCTTGATTATCAACAAAAAAAAAAAATCTAAATTATCATCCACCTTCAAGATTATCTCAGAAATATCTGGATTATTATGATTATCAGATATATGAATATATACATGAATATATTAAACATTAATATATGATTCTTCTTTCAATTTTATGTGATCTTATATTTAATTAATTTTGAATTTATATAAAATACATATATTTAATAAAATAATAGATTTTTCTGCATATGATTTGATTCAAAATTTTAAAAACGACATATATTACTCAATGGATGAAGAAAATATAACAAAATGATGTTTAATTTCACGAGAAGAGGTTATATGGTGGGATGAGTTTGGGTCATTATTAGTACATGACAATATGCCACCGATGAAATCATAGAATTAAAATAAAAATATAATTATATAATCTTTAACACTAAACAAACCAAACAATATTAACAAAACAAAATAACTTAATTTTAAAAAAATCGAGTCGTAGTGTACCGGAGTAAATTTTTTAGATACAAAATAATATCAATTTATTATAATAGTCCATGATTATAAATGCTTGCCAATATTTACATTAAACACTTCTACACATTTAGGTAACAAATACAACAATTCAAAAACAATATTTATGTTGTGAACTATGTCTTTCACTAATAGTATAAAGGATATATATACAAGGATAATAGCAGGATACAGAGAATAAAGTAAAACCCTAATGGGTCATGGGCCGGTTATGGAGTCCATCCATATGGTTTATAACACTCCCCCTTGTAAGATATAACCGTGCCCGATACTAAACCGGGATCTCTATAATGCGCTGGGGAATGTTGCCTCATTAAAACCTTACCAGGAAAACCCAGTGGGACAAAACCATGGTGAAGGAAAAAGAGTACAACACACATTACTCCCCCTGATTTGAGCATCACTGTCGATCCTTAAGTCCGCGCATCCCGATCTGATGAATGAGCTTCCGGAACGTTGAAGTCGGCAATGATTTGGTGAATAGGTCGGCTGAATTCTCACTTGACCGGATCTGTTGAACTTTGACCTGACCGTCCTTCTGTAATTCATGAGTGAAGAAGAACTTGGGCAGAATATGCTTCGTTCGATCCCTCTTAGTGTAGCCATCCTTGAGTTGAGCAATACAGGATGCGTTGTCTTCAAATATGATGGTCTTTGATGTAGTAGTAGATGCGCCTTAAGGAAGGCTGCCTACGTACCCGTGGAAGGGATCAAGCCACACGTAGTTCCTATTCATTGACCATGCCATAATCTGATCTTATGAATAACCTGCATCAGCAAATCAAACTAAACCAAAGCAAACTGGCCCTTCTTTGGTTAGATCAGTATAGAACAAAACCCAAGTAAACAACGCAGGAAGAATAGACTTTAAAACTTAGCCAAACCTTCCTTTAACCCTTTCCAGTGCCTTTGGGTTGATCATGAACTAAATTTAGACAGGAGACTCACGGCAAAACAAATGTTTGGTCTAGTGTGTCTAGCCAAATTCATTAGAACTCCTATGGCACTGAGGTATGGCATTTCCGGACTGAATGGATCACTATCCAATCTGAGGCTTCTCACCACCATTGGGCCTGGTCAATGGGCGGGCCTGGTCCTTATTAAATCTCCTTGAGTACTCTTTTAGTGTATGCCATTTGATGCACAAGGATTCCATTATTCACGTACTCAGGTTGTAATCCCAAATAGAACTTAATTATTGCCTAGGTCTTTCATTTCAGATTCTTTCTTTAGATATACTCAACTGTTTGGTCGATTACCCAGAGGTTTAAATCATTCATATACACTGCTATGATTATAAATCCTTTGTTTGCAAACTTCTTGATAAAAATACATGGACTGATCGGATCGTTTTTATAGCCTTCTCTGATGAGATATTCGCTTAACCGGTTATACCACATACGTCCGCTTTGTTTCAGTCCATATAAGGATTTGTCCAGCCTTATGCAGTGCTGTTCTCGAGAATCTTTCTTATCTTTGAGCTCAATACCCTCTGGTAATCTCATATATTATCCAATGGACTTATATAAATATGCAGGCATTACATCCATTAGCCGCAAATCTTTATCTTTTATATAGCCAGACTTAGCAAAGATTTAAATGTCTTAGCATCCACCACAGGGGAGTATATCTCCTCTATTTCTGGTCTTTGTGTGAATCCTTGTGCGACAAGCCGTGTCTGATATATCACGCTTTCACTATGTTTATTTCACATAATCACAAAGACTCATTTGTCCCACTGGCTTTACATTGAATGGTGTCCTTCGTATTGGACCAAACACATTCTTCTTCTTAATGATTATTAGCTCCACGTTTTATGGTCTTGTACCATTTTAATCAATCAGGTCTTTGAGTGCACTCTAGTATAGACGTGGGCTCCTGATCCTCATTCATTTTAGTTGCTACCTTGTGCGCAAATATTTTATCATTGATGTCGACATCTTTTCGGTTCCATTGTATTCTAGACATGATATAGTTTATAGAGATCTCTTTACACCTTCAGGACCTTGAGGTTTGGCATCCCAAACCTCATTGATTGGTACCTTAGGGTTATGTCTATTAGCCGGCCATGTCTATGGTTTCTTGAACCTTCTCGGTTTCCCTTGCACCTTTCTTTGATTTCCGAGGGTTCTTGTCTTTGGAACCTTTTGGGTCTACCATATTTCTTACGTGTTGTAGCCTCTGTAGCAACTTGATTGTGTTCCTTGTGAACATCAATACGTACTGGTGCATTACAGGCTAGTATGTACGATTTTGTTACTCTCTTTGGGTCATTATAGGAATCTTGGCAACTGTTTTAGCTAGCTTTTGCAGATATATAGTCTTTTGGATCTCTGATGGAGTCCGAGGATCTTGCCATGTGAAGGATATTTGATTCCATGTAAGTTCTTTGACCAGCTTGTTAGTCTCTCCACCCAGTGTTGGGAAAACGGATTCATTGAGATGACAATCCTTGAATCTGGCCTTTGGCTCGAGATACTTAATGATGGTGGGAGAATCATTGTTAACGTATATTCCCATCCCTTTTGAGGTCCCATCATTTGCTCTCTGTGGTGGTGCAATGGGTACATAGACTGAACACCCAAATGTCTTAAGATGGGAAACGTATGGCTCATGACCCGTTAGCAATTGGGATGGGGAATATCTATGCTCACTAGAATGGCCTGATGCGTATAAGCTCTTGTTGCATGTAATATTGCGTGTCCCCAAGCAGCTACTGTGAGTTCAAGTATGGACATGTGCCACGGGGTATACTACTCTCCCCCTCATGGACATACTGTAGCCATAAAACGCTTGGGACATAATTTACCAGCATTATCTAGACATATAGTCTTAAGTATGTGGGCTCACAGACTTATGGTCTGGGCCAGCAATCTAG